TTAGGAATAAATAAATGATGCTTAGGAATAAATCAATTTATGTTGGCAGAATGGTGGTGATAGAGCTGGCTACTTTTCATCCTTGATGAATTAGCTTAAAACTCTCTCTTTTTTTTTTTCTCCCTTTGGTCTCTTCTTACCACTCCCGGTTCCTTCTTTTATTCCAACTCCGCTGTCTTCATTCTCACAGCTTTTGGGAGGCTGCCACCCTGCTCTTCCACCCTGTTTGCTGTTCCAGGAGACCTTGGGAAGAAGCCCCTTTGTGACCCCTGCAGGGTTCAGAAGAGTGGTCAAAATTTGCAATATTTTCCACTTGGGGGGGGGGGGGGAAGAAATGCCCACCATCCTGGCCTCCCTGCAAGCGGAGAAAAACAGGACAGCTGCTGCTGCTGCTGCTGCATGGTCCTCCCCTCCATTCAGCAAAACTGCTGTGTCACCCTTTCCGAGAAGAGCCGTGTGCCTCCCCTCCCCTCCCCCCACAGCCTTCCTCCGTAGCTCTTCAGGGAGCGGAGCAGCGCAGGAAAGCAAGCTGCCTTTTCCCCCCCTGGCAGAGAAGCCGAGCCTGCCGAGACACGCTCAGGCTGAGCGGGCGGGCGACATGGGAGTGCAAGGAAGCCTCGTCCTCTCCTGGCCCAGGGAGCGGCTGGGGAGGGGCGATGCATCCCGGGGCGGTTTCCTGTCCTCTCATTTTTTGCAGGCCTTCCTCAGAGGTTCCTCCACAGTTGTTCTCCTCCTCCTCCTCCTCCCCTCCTCTGGCCCTTCCAGCTTCTGCCGTCAACTTCAGGGTGTGGAGTGGGGCAGCCGATCTTCTGGCCGTGCGAGCAAAAGCCGCTTGCTCCCGATTTCAGCACCCCAGAAACTGGAGGCTTTAGCAAGGCCCCGCCAAGTTTCATGGAGGAAACCAACGAAAGAGTGGGTTGCCCCACTATTTCCCTGCCTCCATCTTGATCAAGGGCCCCCTTTTCCTTGAGGGCCCCCTTGGTGGAGCCGCGCAGAATCCAAAACCGAGGTTGACCTGCCCATTTGGGAAACTTTGAGCTAGGAAGGGAGCTTCTCTTTCCCAGGCTGAACCACACGTGGCAGGGATTTGATTGAAGGAGGAGGAGGAGGAGGAAGCAGTAGGACAAGTGCTCGTAGCAGTTTTAAGAGTAATGGTAGTAACTTCTGACCCCAGCAGGATGCCAGAGAAACGGACTGCAATCCTATTTTTCTGATTCAGGTTGTTACCTCCCTTTCCGCAGAGCTCTTTCCCTCGGCTTTCCTCTAATTCAGACGTCTCCCAACTTGGCCACTTTAAGACTTGTGGACTTCAACTCCCAGAATTCTCCAGCCAGCAGAGCTTTACTCTCTTGCGATCTCTTCCTCTGCAATCTCTCTCCACTTTGGTGGGTAAGAAACAGACACAGCCGGCTGAGGAATTCTGGGAGTTGAAGTCCACAAGTCTTAACGTTGCCAAGTTTGAAGACCAGGAACGGGAGCTGTGTCCACATGCCTGATCTCGCCTGTGGGAATGACGCCTCTGGTCGGCCGATGCTTTGGGTGTTGTGCTTGCAGGGTGACCAGGCGAACTTCCCTGACGATAGGAGGGAGGTTATCCCCGGGTTAGCTCAGCCTGCCTTGCAAGGAGCAGGACAACCGCCAGACTCCCAGAAAGCTAAGCAGGGGCAGCCCTGATGACCCCCAGGCTGAAGCCCCCTCCTGGGCCGTGAGCCATTTGGAAGCGGGCTGTGGAAGGAGGGGGTGAGCATCCGCCCGCACACATCCCCACTGGTGAGAGCAGCAAGCATACATGCCCGCCCCTCACGCAGATGGAGGTGTGTGCCTGCTTGCCCACTGTTCATGTGGAGCCCTCCCCTCTCCTGCCCTCCCCCCCCACACCTCTGGCCGGTCTGCAAAAGTTGGGGGACTCTGGTTGAAAAGGAAGCACCAGAGAGGTCTCCAAAGAAGGCTGTGATGGGCTGTTTTCCTGCTGATGGAGCCGTTCGGCTGGCAGATTCTTGTGGTCCCTGCGCCCTCTCTGTGCCCCTGAAGCCGGCGTTAGATTTCTGCCTCAGGCAGGTGAAGGGTTGGACTGGCATCTGCTTTGGATTTTTTGGGGGTAGGAACAGCAGTGGTGGGATTCTCAGCCCCTACCTGCCTACGGTGTCTTCTTGGCTGTGGAAGCTTCATCTTCTCCAGATGAAATTTCCTCCTTTCTTTCATGATCTTCAACGTCCCTTTAGATGTTGTCCCACCAGCCTGAGTCCTCCACGTATGATTCAGAGCAGCTTTTGGGGTGCTCCAGACCAGTGGTGGGAGTCAAAGATTTTTACTACTGGTTCTGTGGGCGTGGCATGTCGGGCGTGGCTTGGTGGGCGTGGCAGGGGAAGGAGACTGCAAAATCCCATTCCCTCCCCACCCCACTTTCCAGCTCTGTTCTCCTGTGCAGGGCAACCAGCTGGGACTCGATGGGAGGCAGAGAAGAGATGGGGTTGGCGGGGCCAGTCAGAGGTGGCATTGGCCGGTTTTCTGAACTACTCCAAATTTCCACTACCGGTTCTCCAGAACCGGTCAGAACCAGCTGAATAGGAAGAGGACACCTTCCCGGCAGAAGGCTGGTGTGGCCGGCCATTCACCCCTCACCTGTTTTCCTTCCGAGGAGGACGCTGGCTCTTTCCCCTTGCTGGGAACACAGGTGAGCCGAGTGGCTGCCTTCCCCCGAGGCCGTGAGTGTCCTCCCGTCGCTCGGACCCAAAGGAATTGGCTGGCTCTTTCAGGCGTCAGGGAGGGAGGTGCCAACTGATGCCAGACCTGTCCTCGGGAGCCTCAGGTGGCCTGGCAAGACTCTGTCTCAAGGGTCCCCCAACCAGACAGCAGTCTGCCAGCGGGCTCTGCTGGGGGGGGGGGGCAGGGAAACGCAGTCAATCCATCCTCCCCCCTCAAAAAAGGGGGGAATAATCAGACCTCCTTGGCAGGGGGGGAGGGAGAGAGATGGCATCCCTCCTCCTGTGCCCAAACTGGCAAGGCCTCCCTCCAACCGCCTGCTGAGACGTGAGGAGGGGGGGCTTTCCCATCTCTCAGATTCGGGAAATAACAGAGCTGGAAGGGATCTTGGAGGTCATCTAGTCCAACCCCTCCTCAGGCATGAGGCCCTAGACCAGAGGTCTCCAGACTTGGCAACTTTAAGACTTGTGGACTTCAATTCCTCAGCCAGCATAGCTTCAACTCTGGGAGTTGAAGCCCACAAGACTTAAAGTTGCCAAGTTTGGAGACCTCTGCCCTGGGCCATTCCGGACCGATGGCTGTCCAATCTCTTCCGCTCTCTCGCTGGGGACTAGAATGTTTGGTTTAAATGTTGGCAGGTTGCCCAATGGAGAGAGGAATAGTATAATATGTAAGTATAATATAGTATAATATGTAAGATAACAGGATGTAATGATGATATATAATGGAATATAAGGAAATGAATTGCGTGATCCCAGGTTTGTTAAAACTGAGATTTGCTTGATAAGAAATATATAAACTTATAGTTGGGTCTAATAACGACACAACAGTAATGTAATACAACATAATATAATATGTATAGTTGACCTATGTAATATGAATGTATGTTTGGAAGGGAAAACCGTTGATATTGTGACATTGCACGAAAGAAATGTAGCAATCGACACACTGTATTTTGGAAGATGGTTTTAGGTTGATGTTTTATGTTTGTGTTTGTTAGTGTTTGTCTTTTAAACATAAAAAACTTTTATGAAAAAAAAAAAGGAGAGAGGGCTTTCCATTCAGCCCCGGCACATGGTCGGGAGTCGGGTGGCAGCTCTGGACCCCTTCAGCCACACAAGTGGCCTTTTTGGGTGGGGAGGGTATCTGCTAGGTGGAGGGCTTGGAGCCGGAAGGGAGGCCAGACACTCTCCTGTGATGTCTGAATTGCTTGGCCCCCTCCCAGACCTGGTCTTTCACACACCCCTCCCCCCATCCCCAGGCACTGAGTTCTGGGTCAGGGCTAGGAAGAGCCGTTTGAAGGAGACTCCCTTCTCTGGCAGGTGGAAGCCCTAAGCGTGGAGCTTTTGGGCCTCTTGAGAAGTCCTGAGGGGGGGCTCCCTCCCCACACTGTTGTGTCGATAAGGCCAGGCCAGGGGTGGGATTCTACCAGTTTGCACCTATTCGCTAGAACCGGTTGTTAACCTTCTAAGCAGTTCGGAGAACCGGTTGTTAGAAGAAATTACTGGCCTAATCCTGTAAGGAAGGCAGGAAGGAAACATTCTGGGGTTGCTTACAGAAACTGCCTCTCCGTTAACCCTTATTGCATTCTTGGCAGGACTAGACTTCCTGTCTCAGGAACTTCTCTGGAGTTTTTTCCCCTTCCTTTGCTGGTACTTTGCTGCTTGTGTGGAGTGACCATTCGAAGTTACAATGGCACTGAAAAAAGTGACTTATGACCGTTTTTCACACTTACGACTGTTGCAGCATCTCCACAGTCATGAGAGGCCAGGCGAGGAGATGCGTGCCTCGAAGTGAATGATGTTGAGTTGGCCACACCCAGCCAATAACATGACCACCAAGCAACGCTCCCCCCAGTCACATGGCCACCAAGCCCCACCCACCAACTAAGCCACGCCCACAGAACCAGTTATTAAACAATTTGAATCCCACCCCTGGCCGGGACCCCCACTCCTGACTGGGGCCAAAGGAGAAATGCGTGGAATGGGTAGGAAAGTGAACCCCTTTTCCTCTGAGGAGGCACACAAGGGACATGGGGGGAGGTGGGGGGGAGGTGCCAGTGGTTCTCCAAGCACCCCCCACCCACCCCCCGCCCTCTCCTTGCGGCTGTAACTATCTGGTGCACTCAGCAGCAGCAGCAGCGGGGTTTTCGGGAAAGCTGCTCCCGGCAGGCTGGATCTATGATTTGTCTGCGGCAGGCGAGGAGAGGGCGGTCGGGAGTTGTGTGTGTGTGTGTGTGTGTGTGTGTGTGTGTGCCTGCGCAAGTGTTCAAGTTCTGCTGTGCAATGCACGATTCCGGCCCAAGAGGGCCGGCAGACTCCTCTCTCTCTCCGCATATTCTCATTTGTTGGCAGGAAATGTTTTGACTTGCTTGCCTGGAAGAATGTGGGGCTTCCAGATCTAACCTTCGTCCGGGGCGTGTGAGAAGGCCCCGCCTCGGGCCTGGGCTGGGCTGGGGAGAGCTGCTCCCTCAGGGGTCCCACCAGGAGAGGTAAGGGGCTTTGGGGCTGCCGGGTCCGAGCCTGGCTCAATTCTGCTGCAGTGCAGACAGTGTGTGTGTGTGAGAGACGTGGGAGATTCGGCTCGCCAACCTTCCCCTCTTCTGTGCGCTTAACTTTTCCTCTGCCTTCCTCTCTGTCTCGGGTTTCCTGCCAGCCTGCCTGGTGATGGGTGGATGGAGGAAATGAACGCTGAGTGACACACACGCACAAAGAGAGAGGGGGATCCTTGGGGAGGTTTGTGTCTTCTCGGGGTTCATTCAGCAGAGCTGCTCCCTTCTGCTGGGCGTGGGGGTCCTATTTGGGGTGCACCGGGCCAAGAGCGCCGGTTCTGAGTGGCTTCCCGTCGAAAGGCTCTTGGGAAGGGCCCCCGTTTGCTGACTGCACTGGGGCGGAGTGGAGGGGACCGTTCATGGAGCACATCTGGAGAAGGTCTAAGGCGGAAGGGCCAGTCACCATAGCGGGTAAGGGAAAACATCTGGACGGTGCTTTGCTTGTGAGAGGCCGCAGCAGCTGCTGGAAATCCTGGGGGGATCAAAGAGACCCAGAGAGGCCTGAACTTTGGAAGGTCCCAGAGAGCTTCCGGGAATCCTGACCCGGAGGGGGGGGGAGGCGCCAGGCCGGCCTCGCTGGCTGCGTCAATCTGGGGCTGGCGTGATGGGCAGTTTGTGCCTCGCAGACAGAGGTGTGTGCCATCGTTTTCAGCAGGAACTCAGTGCCGGTCGTGATGTAATGCCAAATGGCACAAACGGTTTGTGTGCGTGTGTGTGTGTCTCTCTCTCTCTTGGATGCCCAGCAGGTACAAGATTTGGGAGCAAGGCAAGGCAAAGGCTGCTCGCAGTGACCCCAAGGCAGAGGTCTGAAAGGCAGCCTGGGGCAAAGGCTGCTGGGGGTTTGGGGGTGGATGGGAGATTGTTTCCTTTTCTTCTCAGGAATGTCTTTGCCGGCATGTTGGGAATTCTCTCCCCCCCCCC